ATCTTGGATACGATTCACTTTTAAATTTTTAGTAAATTAAACATGACTTATTATTAATTATATCTATCTCACGAAAATAAATTGTCTATTTTTAGAAGTCATTGTAATCCTTTATTGTCTCCTTGCAACATAATCAAGTGACAGTCGAATTAACTCTTGGAAACTCAATAAAAAAAATGGTAAGTTTATTTAATACAGTTTTATGAATTTCTTTTTTACTTATTTAATGATATAAACAAGTAATGTGATAAAAATAATAAAACCTAAAGTGGTATAACAAACACTTCTTCTTTTTCCTCACATTTTACTTGTATGGTGATGGAAAAAAAAAAAGAGAAATAAAACATAGATAAACAATACATTTTTTTTGTTAAAGAAAAAGTAAAATGAAATTGGAGGAAAAAAAAGTAACTTCAAGAGACAGTAAATTTAAAATTTTAGTAGTTGTTGCAGTTACTCATTGTTAATTAAGATTGATATTAAGTTTGTGTATTACGATGAATCAATGTACATGTGTACTGATTTGAGTGTGATTACAATATCTTAAGTTGATTTTAGAAATAGTATTTTGTAAGACGTGTTCTAATAAGTTCCAATTTTAATGATTGGTTTGATTTCAATGGGGGCAATGGAAGCAAAACACAGGGTTGAATCAAACTGATTTTATGTCAAGGAATTGTATTCAATCTACATTAGTGAAATCTGGACTTCTAAATCATGTTTAAATTATATTAACTCTTAAGTCAAAATGCAAAATGACCAACACAAAGGATTCAAATCCCTAACCACTCTTACCATTATTGTTATGAATATTTGAAAAATATGAAAATAGCAATAATTTATTTTTGTGCAATTTATTCTTTAGCAATTGTGTTTATGACAACACATTTTGCTTGAATTTGCAAAATTGAATAATTAGTTTGAAGAATGTTACTCTAGAAGAATGATATTGTAATTATTATTATTTGTTGACTAGTAAACTAGAAAAGATACTCAAATTTATATACGTAGTTATTAAGTCTTAACAATTTTAATTAAAAATGTTAAATAGATTAGGTTTATATAGCTTAGTCTGATCTATATGAGTTAAATGTTATTTTGAATTAGATTATTTGATCTATTTTTTTTAAGTTGTCATTTTTTGCCTTAACTTGACCTATGTCAAACAATCGGACCATCAAATCAAATTGTCTTAATTAAAAAAATACATTTTAAAAAATTAACCTTTTTTTTTACAATGAAAAATATTATAATATGATTAATCAATATTATATATTATATGTATCATGAAACACCTAATAACTTAACATGTATACAATTTTTCACAACTATTGCATTTATATTTATCCACCCTATCAACTAGATTAACGTTTTCATAATAATTTCACAACACCTAATAATTAGCTTAGTTTTCTTAACCTTTTTTTTCTCTCAATATTTTAGTCTTCATCGTTAATACTCTTACTCTTACTTTTATCGTGACTTTATAAGCATAGGAACAAGTGTGACTATATATGTCTTTGTATTTTTCGACAAACAAAATAAAGATAATGAGTCAGGTGATCATATAATCAAAGGCACAACGGGAGTGGTGAAACCTTCATAATAACTAGCTATAACTTTAACCTTGTGACTACAATTTTATAAATGAATACATGAAAAATTATTATTATTATTATCATATTATATTTTATATATTATTTTATAATACATCACATATTAATTAACGATAATTCTATTATTCTGTTTATTAGTTTAATGGATCAATTTACAAAATCTAAACTCATTTAATTTATCAAACTTAACAGATTAGAAAAATAACATAATTTTAATTAAGTCATTCTTTTTAATATCAAACCTGATTTTATTTATGATCCCATCTAACTCAAATTATCAACTCTACTTAAACACAATAAATGACTAAATATTACCCGATGTGCCTCTAAGTTGTTGGAGAGGTTTCTCCTCATGTGAACTCTATTTATGTTTGTTGGAAGCTGAGGCAAACAAATCCACACTTCTCTTGTTAACTCCAATAAAGCATTATAGGATGGTTAGGATTTAGGCTTATTTAAGAGGATCGTTTTATTGGATTTTAGAAATCTTATATTTATAGTAATACACATGTCATGTTCATGCTGAAAAAATTAGATGTTTGATCCATATCAATTGTTTGAGGTTGTTGCATGGATTGTTCATGATGGTTATAGGTATAGTTATATTTCCGCGTGCCATTAACTGGGGCCTTTTATTTAAGTAACAAAATTTGTGGGAGATACAACATTCTTTATTAATTTTTTTTTATCACTTTATATCAGTTCTATAGTTTTTAAAAATGTATTATTCTTTTTCATTATGTTTTGTTGCCTTTTGCTTTGCACCTTTAATTGACACAGGATACTTCTCGATTTTCCATCTTTTGTAATTGTTAATCAATCACCATATATGTTCTCATGTCTATGATTAATATGATTTGCATGTCTGAAACTAGGGTTAGCATATTTTGGGCAGCATTCACTTGAGTTTGATACTTCCGTGTCATCAAGGAAATACTTTCATCTTTTTCCTCTTTAGAAAATTACCAATGATGTGCATGTAACTCATAACTTTAGCAAATAAGATGAGAACCCTCGTAGATATTGAACCAATGGTTGTGAAACCAAACATGTCCCATAATCAGTTACCTCAAGTCAATCCCTGTACACACATCTTAATTAACAAACTTTCATCTAAATTCATCCATGATCGTAAAATAAATTTTGATAAATCTATAGTTCATAAAACACATCCAAATTCTCCTAGTCTAGACAAGGAACACAATTCATAACATTGTGCAATTAAACTTTTCCTCCTATGTTATAAATTTCAACATTCATCCTCTCATAATAAGAATGATAAAAAAAAGTCCTAGGTTTATCATCAAGAGTCCATGACAAGCATCAATTAAATCTCTACCTTGGTAAACTTCTATATAACTTTCAAGCAATTTCTCATAATAAAAAAAACTTAGTTTTAAAAATGTTAATTCGTGAGTAAGAATATATTTTTCTTGATAAAACTTTTAATATTGTCTTCAAGAAAATTAAATGATAACCAAACATTATTTTCTTCTTAAAATTTCACATAAAAAAAATTCAATTTAATTAAAAATAAAATATTTCTTATATCAAACATCATCTTAGTAATTTTGTATCTTATTGTTAGTAATGAGAATATGTCAAAGTTTTAACAGGTACATATAACTTATTTTAAGTTTAACTCAACCTATTTAATAAAAATATCATATTTAAGTTTTTAAAAAATCTATTTGTTTAAAAAGGTTTTGTTTAGATATTTAAAAAAGTTTGTTACTAGCTATTTATTTACATGTTGTGATAAAAAATAATATGCATATCACATTATTAACAATATAATTAAATAAATATTTTTGTAATAAAAAATTAAATTATTAATATTTTTTGATATTTTCATTATATTTAAATATTTTGCATTTTTTGTTTGTACAAAATTATAAATCGAAAATAAAAATTTTAATAGCTGAATTTTCGTTCATCCTCATGATTATTTACACACTTCAAATAGAATATAAAAAATGTTTTTTTTAATAAGATTATCTTCTTTTATATAAAAGTACGTTAGTGTACATGGTATACATGAATTGTTCTTTAGTTTAATTTTTTATTATTTTAAATTCTAATTTTGAATAATAATAATAATAAAATAAATTATTTTTTATCATGCAAATTAAAAAAAGACTTGTACATGTATATAAAAATATAATTGTTACTTTATTTAAAATTAAATTTATTGGTCTAGTTACTTTGTTAATACATAATTAACTAATAGGTCAACCAAACTTTTAAAAAGATCAGATCAGTTCTATATAAAAAAAATATATGATAGATAATATATATGATTTAAACTTTAATATTATTGCATAGATTCAATCTGTATATTTAAAGTCTAATATATCTTTACTTAAAGTATATATTACCGATACTCCTAAATTTCCATGAAATTTGTTTTCAATAACTTTCATATTAAAGAATCTCCATGTAATATTTTTTAAATAATTAAGTAGTTAATATAATGTCTAAGGAATTTTTGTGTAATATTTTTTAAAAATTTAAAAAGATTATTGTACATATTAAAAAAAAGTAAAGAGTTACGGTTAGGTTGAAGACTTAATCGTTTGAATATTTTGTGTCTCTCAAACTCTTTCTATATGCCATCTCTAGTGTAGAAATAGTGTGATAATAAACAGATACTATGTGTTGCTATTATTCAGAACATTCAAGAGTTGTTAGTTAAAAGATTAGAATGCTAGGTTGTAATATACTTTAAGATAAGAAAATAAGTGTGTTAATTATTTGACTAGTTTGTGTTTAATTCTACTTCTACATATCCAGAATTAAAGTTCCTTCTTAATGACCTGAAACTACTTCTTTATGTTGATGTTGTCAAAGTGTAGTTTCTAAAATTATAATTTTTTTTTAAATTTTATTCACGGTCATTTAAAAAAAATGAAGACAATTTTATAAAACTTCATGTAAATGTAAGCAAAATATACTCTAATAAATAACCACATATTAAAAATAATTAAACTTCTAAAATATAAATTGTAAAGTGCGAGGACAAATTTTTCTTAGAGTTTATTAATATAATTTTTAAAAATAATTATTATAAAAATTAACCTATTTATTTTACTTTGCACTAACAAGGTCAGTCCAATTAATCATAAAACCTAAAACAAATTTTAAAATGATTTTTTTAAATTAATAATTTTTTAATTTAGTATTTGAAAAAAATTATATAATTATATTAATATAAAATATTAAAAAAAAAATTAAAATAAGCGTCTCCTTAACAATAGATAATAAACAAATACATTCATTATTTGTTTTTTTCTCTTTATTCATTTCGGACCATGTCACGTGCTGCTGAAAAACATTGGTGGCATGACATAAACTACCATAAAATCCACAATAACATTTATAAAACCCAATCACTCTCACTTAACTTCTTCACTCACCTTGTTCTCTCACAAAACCCTAATTCTCCTTCACTCTCATATGTCCACGGCGTAGTTCAATTCCCCTCGCTCATAGAATGTCGCTCCACGGTAACGACCGTCGCGACGAGCCTTCTATGGGAAGCGCCGGCGCAAACGGCACCGTGGCGGCGGCGAGCCTGAGGCTGCGGCTGAACCCTAACAAGGAGCACAAGCCTGAAGGTTACGAGGACATGGAACTGGATTTCAGCCCTAACATTTTCAGCTCCTTGGAGAGGTACCTCCCTCCGAGCATGCTCAATGTGGCACGAGTCGACAAGGCCAAATTCATGCGCGATATTCTCCTCAAGTATCTCCCCCTCGGAGAACGCAACAGGGTATGCTTCTCATTTTTGCCTTAACATGGATTTTTTTACCACTGTGTTTTTGACTTTTTTTTTTTTTTTTTTAATTTTTTTTTTTAATGTTAGTTTGTTTAGAGAATGGAAGGCAATTGAGTTAAATTGAGAAGGGGGATTATTTTATTTTTGATTTTATGTTTTTGCTTAAGTTGGGTGAATTGTGTAACTTGTGTGTCAAAGGAGGGTTGAGATTTTAGGTTTAGATGGATTAATTGTGTAGCTTGTGTGTCAAGTTAGCTTAGTTTCATGAATAGGTAAAATGTTGTTGTTTATGTTAACAGTAGGATGGTTTTTTAACAACTGGGTTGAGTCTGGTGGAAGGGGGCTACACTCTCGCAACGAATCAAATTGAGGTTTGAATCCTTGGCTGGAGAGGTCCCAGCAGGTTGGGTGGAAGGGGCTAATTTCTCGCAACTTAGCACGGGTTGAATACTCACTGGGAGAGGTTCCAACTCCCAGTTTAGTGTCTTGAGCGAGGATTGCTTTTGAAGGAGGATATATGTGGGGGAAAAAAAGTAAGATGATTTCTTTGGCAGGTGATTTGATTTGACTTAAAATGACACATTTATCCCTGTTTCAAGTATGTTTGTTAGAGGTGCCGTGTTGTACAAAATCAAAGAAGCACAAACTATTGTTGTGGCCGGTGTTATATGAACTGGACTGGTTTTGACCAACCATAGCTGGTCTGGTCTGGTATTTAGATTGGCTGTGCAGTTACCTGGTAGTAACTGGTCAACTTGGCTTTGAACCGGTAAAAACCAGTGTTAACTTGGTGACTAGGCTCAGGCAACTCTGAACATGCTTTGTGTTTTGTTTTGCATAAAACAGTTATTTTATATATACTATAATATTATTTATGTTACTTTAATTTATATTGGTTCATATGGTTTTATTAGTCACTCGTTGGTCCATCCAATAACCCAGTCTAGTTTTAATAACACTGCTTGTGACACACATAAAGTGCTAGTAGCTGTGCTTTATAGTTCATTTTTACTTTTATATTTTAAATTTTTTATACCAATACAGTTGGGTTTGTTATAATTTGTGTATAGATGATGATATTTTATTATTTCTATTATGATTATTTTTTCTCCTAAAAAACTAACCTAATTTCAGATTGTGTGGTGTGTAATTTTAGTGGCAATGAATGACCCTTGTTTGGTTATTCGGCTGGACATGGCTTTACAAAGTGTAAACCTGCCAAACTTCCAATGTGGGGATGATATCAATGTTTTAGATGCTTATATGCTAGTGAAAAATAAAGTGAAATTCTGAAAATTGAGGTTTGGATGATGGGGAGGAAGTGCAACTCATGCTGAGAATTAGAAGTTTTAATAAAATTTGCATGCTATAGTGGTTTATTGAATTTCCCTTTTGTTATATTTATGGATAGGATGTTGAAGTGCCTTTGAAAAAATTTCCAATTATGTTAACAAGTTTATATTTGGTTCAACTTATTTTGAAAAAATAATTGCATATTTTTGCCAGCTGTCTAAGAGAACTTTTGAAAAATATATGATTATTTCTGAAAAAATAATATTTTCCATTATTATATGGTAGTTTCTGTGTTATTTTGGCAGGCTCAAAAGCATAAAGAATACAGACAGAAGATAATAGCAAATTACCAGGTATGTGGTTACAGTTCATCTTGGCTGCATTTTTGGTTTGAAATTGATGTTGAGCCTAAAAGAATTTGAGCAAGATCGTGAGGGGTGGATAGAATGAGTCTCATAAAGTATATTCTTAAATATAAAAGTATACATAATAAACCGTAATTGCTAAATCTAATGATGTATCCTGCTTCCTGATTTAGACAACCTTTAATGTGAGCAGCTCTTGAATAAACAAAATATGGAACCCTGAACCATAGTTATCAATCATGTGCATTAGTGTTGAGTCATGGCTGGAGGCTGCTATAGTTCTCAGTTCATGGAACGTTTTTAAGTCACGCCTATTGCATTTTGATTTACAGCCAAAATCATGTCCATTCACTGCTGTGTACCCACTATTGCCTTGTAAAGGATAAAGCACCATTTTGCCCCCATTTTTGACCTTTTCCAACCCTAATTATAATGGTTGTCACTTTCTCAACATATTTTTCATCAGAAAATTGTAAATTCTACCTTGATCATCTCCAATTGTTATTCACTTTGAAGCAAGCCTTTACTCGCATTGTCCACTTTCACGAGCTTGAGCTCCCTGATTGCCACTGATTATCTCCAGCCATCCCAAGCATTTTTCTGTCACCTACTAGTTGCCATTGATCACTGTTACTCAACCTCAACCATTCACTCTCTACCCTGTCAACATCCCTCTGTCACAGCTTGCAAATCTTATTCCTTTGTTTTACCCTCTGTTCTGCTCCAATGTTGTTTATTTATTTATTTATTATTTTTTTAAATTATGAGAATGTGTTTAATTTTGTTTTTAAAATTTAATTTATTTATATGTATATAGTATAAATAAATTATGTATATTGAATTTATAATGCTCGGAATGGTGGCCTTTCTTCTATCCCCTATGATATTTTTGGGGCCAGCTGCTCTGCATGGCCATTTTGGATTGATAACATGGCCCTGAACCAACTAAAATTTCAATCCTCTATTTTTTATCTACTCAGAGGTTAACATTTCTCTGTCCTGCTGTATATGCTTGCATTGATATGCTATACATTCTTTTGAACATAAGGATTTTTCTAATAAAGTAAACCAAAAATGTCAGCACAGAATGATCTAATTACTACTTATCACTTTCTATGTCATGCCACTACTTTGATGGAACAAAGGTTGGATCCTTCAGTTTTTGAGATCTATTCAAATTTATGCAACAAAAATATAATGGTAGTTAGATCTCTCCTTTGTTTGTGATGCTGCTGCTGTTGAGAAGGTGCTCTATATCCATTGAAAGGAAATAAGGAATAATAATCTTTAAAAAATTGTTTACTTTTCAGATGTGAAGTATGATATCACACTGTCCCTTGTCTCTTCTCCCTCCTCCTTTCTTGTATTTTTTTTTGCAAAACTTATAGGTTTTTTAACACAATTTTGCAGCCTCTACATCGAGAGTTGTACTCTGTGAATCCTGCTACATTCTTTGTCCCCTCATTTCTGAAAGCAATTAATGATAATACAGAGCAAAGCTTTAGAAGTATCATGTCTGAGCCCGCTCCAGGAATTTTTGTATTTGACATATTTCAGCCTGACTTTTGCGAGTTATTGCTATCTGAGGTACTTTATCATCTAACTATCATTACCTATGATATAAAGAAGTATCTCATCTTTTGAATTAGAAGTTGTAAACAGATGCATGTTTTATGTTGTGTATGTTAACATTTATTTGTGGTCTCCCTAGATTGAAAATTTTGAGAAGTGGGTGACTGAAACAAAATTTCGGATCATGCGTCCCAATACAATGAATAAATATGGTGCTGTACTTGATGACTTTGGGCTTGAAACAATGCTTGACAAGCTTATGGAAGGATTTATACGTCCCTTATCTAAAGGTAAATGAAGATTTCGTTATAATCTCGGTGATTTGACTGAATGTATTTATTCTTTAGAAATTATTAGCTATTTTTTCATTCTCATAAGACATATTCAGTAACTTAATTGTTTGTTATACAGTCTTCTTTGCAGAAGTTGGTGGGTCAACCCTGGATTCCCATCATGGTTTTGTTGTAGAGTATGGTAAAGATAGAGATGTTGACTTGGGTACGACTTCTGCTTTATGAGTGCTTGTTTTATCATTCCATAGGCTGTGCACATGGTAGTTGAATCGAGATACAAATAATGTATCGGAAGGTACAAGATCTATCTTATAGTTCCACTTAGGAACTTTTACAATTTTAGTTGATTAGTTTCCCCTCTCTCTATATATATATATATATATTATTGCATCTATATACAAGAATTGCATGTTAATTTTAGTAATTAAATTTATATTCTTCACTACTACTTATTGAATCTTAAAATGTAGAAATATGTGAGACTATTACAAAGTCTTAATCCCTTTATCATAATTTTGTTCACTAAGATTATTTTATATGTATCAATTAATTTAATTATTTTATTATGCATTTCTAATTTGATAAATTCTGAGTTTAAACTTGAAAGCCAATGTTTTACCTTTCTAATTTGATAAATTGTGTGTGAGCGTGCTTAAGAATAGAAATAAAGAATGTAGATTAAAATGTTTAAGAAAATTAACAAGTTATTAAATTTAAAAGGTCAACTAAAAAAATGAAAATTAGCTAGTTAATTGAATTAAATTTATTGATAAAAAATAATTACTGAACTGACAAACGTAAAATGACAACTAAATGATATATTTAATTACTTCACCCAATCCTAACATTTGATAATTATGCATTCTTAAATCATTATCACTTTTCATGTTTTAATTTATTTTAAAAAAATTTATCAACATAAAATTAGGATCATGTTTTTTATATTTATTTTTAATTTAATAAAATTTTAATGAAAAATATTTTTAACATAAAAAAGATATGATTAATTGTAATAAGATAATAAACATAGTTTATTTTTAATAAAAAATAAACTAGGAATTTATAAGTTCAAACACTAAATCCAATACATGTACTATGCAACACTAACACACAATCGCACCAAATTTTAGCATTATTACATGTGAAATGCAAATCGATTGAAAAAACTATCAAATTTGATTAAAATAAAATACAAATTTAATAAATCAAATATAATCAATTAATTTCAAGTGATAACTGATTATAATAAACATTAAAATGAAGTTATAATCCATCAATGAATCTACTACCGATTACAATTAATTTAACTATGGTATAACTAAGGATGAGAATTGAATAAACTTTAAACACCAGTTTATGATTTGATCCATTGAAAAATTGATATAATATGACTTAGTTAATAAATAAGTTTTATTTAAATTTTTAAAAAAGTTTATTTATTATAAAATGTTTGGCTCAGATTTATAAAAAATAATTAATTATATTGATAAATCAATTTATTTATCTATATGATATAATAAAAAATAATATATATATATATTATACATTTTTAACAATATAATTAAATAAATAAATTTGTAATATATAAAATTAAAATTATAATATTTTTTTATGTTTTTACCACATTTAAATGTTTTACATTTCTTATTAGTACAAAATCAATAAATCAAAAATATAAATTTTAATAGTGACATCTTCACTTGTTCTTTTTCTTCATTTTCATAATTGATTATTTAAAACATTTCAAATGAGATATAGGAAATTTTAGATTTATTTTCTTATAAAATTATCTTCTTTCATCACAGTTTGTACGTATGCATGCATGAGTTGTCCATCTTACTTTATTTATTTATTTTAAAATATAACATTTAATAATAATAGAGTAACTTATTTTTTATTATGTAAATTAAAAAAAATCACGCACGTATTTAAATATAAATTTGTTAATTTATTTAAAATTAAGTTTATTTACTTATTTAATGTTATTAATATTAAATAGACGTTTAAATAGGTTAATAAGTCAAGTTAAACTTATAATTTTATAAAATAACTTTAAATACATATTTAAAGTCTGACCTATTTTCATCTTATATATAATTAATTATGTTTGGTGTATAATCGGTTATCTCATTATAAATTGAATGTATAAAATTGATTAAAAATATATAATAAATTAACGTAAATATAATTACAATTTTATATTTATTTGACAACATTAGAACATTAGATTGAATACTCTATTTAAATTATAAATTTTAAAACACAACGTTAAAATTTAACACAAATCATCCTCACATTTCTCTCACAAACTTTTGTTGAAATTTAATCATATTCTTAGCATTTTAACATCTTTAATAACCTTTTCTTACAGAAGTACGCGTTGTAACATGTTTCTAACAATTGAAAAAGTTAGTTAATAAGGACATTAAAATGACAGAAATAAGATGTGGAAATTCAACAAACACCAGTAAGCTGTAATGTAAATTTTATTCTAAAACTTACCACAAAATGGTCCATTCTTATTTTAAATTTATGTGCAAATCACTCTTTTAATTTATCCAATTGGATTTGGTGCCATTAATTTAAAAACTAACATTTGTTTAACAGATCTGTAATACATTATAAGACGTGTACCTTAAAATAAAAATGACGGGACAATGTATTTTAAAATGCAATAAAATACTCTTAGTTTAAAAATCTCAATCTCATCATCACATTAAAAAACAATCTGAATCTTAATCTTATCATAAAGCGAGGCCATGATGAAGTTAGATTCAAACTAAACAAATAATCAAACTCAAATGTGAGTTCAGATTGGAGTAAAATGAATTTATCTATATGATATAATAAAAAATAATATATATATATATTATACATTTTTAACAATATAATTAAATAAATAAATTTGTAATATATAAAATTAAAATTATAATATTTTTTTATGTTTTTACCACATTTAAATGTTTTACATTTCTTATTAGTACAAAATCAATAAATCAAAAATATAAATTTTAATAGTGACATCTTCACTTGTTCTTTTTCTTCATTTTCATAATTGATTATTTAAAACATTTCAAATGAGATATAGGAAATTTTAGATTTATTTTCTTATAAAATTATCTTCTTTCATCACAGTTTGTACGTATGCATGCATGAGTTGTCCATCTTACTTTATTTATTTATTTTAAAATATAACATTTAATAATAATAGAGTAACTTATTTTTTATTATGTAAATTAAAAAAAATCACGCACGTATTTAAATATAAATTTGTTAATTTATTTAAAATTAAGTTTATTTACTTATTTAATGTTATTAATATTAAATAGACGTTTAAATAGGTTAATAAGTCAAGTTAAACTTATAATTTTATAAAATAACTTTAAATACATATTTAAAGTCTGACCTATTTTCATCTTATATATAATTAATTATGTTTGGTGTATAATCGGTTATCTCATTATAAATTGAATGTATAAAATTGATTAAAAATATATAATAAATTAACGTAAATATAATTACAATTTTATATTTATTTGACAACATTAGAACATTAGATTGAATACTCTATTTAAATTATAAATTTTAAAACACAACGTTAAAATTTAACACAAATCATCCTCACATTTCTCTCACAAACTTTTGTTGAAATTTAATCATATTCTTAGCATTTTAACATCTTTAATAACCTTTTCTTACAGAAGTACGCGTTGTAACATGTTTCTAACAATTGAAAAAGTTAGTTAATAAGGACATTAAAATGACAGAAATAAGATGTGGAAATTCAACAAACACCAGTAAGCTGTAATGTAAATTTTATTCTAAAACTTACCACAAAATGGTCCATTCTTATTTTAAATTTATGTGCAAATCACTCTTTTAATTTATCCAATTGGATTTGGTGCCATTAATTTAAAAACTAACATTTGTTTAACAGATCTGTAATACATTATAAGACGTGTACCTTAAAATAAAAATGACGGGACAATGTATTTTAAAATGCAATAAAATACTCTTAGTTTAAAAATCTCAATCTCATCATCACATTAAAAAACAATCTGAATCTTAATCTTATCATAAAGCGAGGCCATGATGAAGTTAGATTCAAACTAAACAAATAATCAAACTCAAATGTGAGTTCAGATTGGAGTAAAATGAAACAATCTCATTGATGGGTATGGAATATTAACGTTGAGAGCAGAAATGCTCGAGCGCTTAGTAATAAATTCAAAAATAATAATAAAAGATAATATATTTTGTACTTTTGCATTTGTGGTCCATAGGTGGCGTATAGGAGCAGTAATGACCAAACATGCTTTAATAAAATTCCGATGTTGCAAGTTGCAACTCAATTACATGAATGCAAATGCCTCTGGTTTTTCAAAAGCGCGGGAAAGTTTGGTTTTCTTCAAAATTTGAATAATTCGTTGGTGAACCAAAACTTTTGAATTTTCAATTAATGAATATGGAGTGAGACCGAGACAGTGAGTGAGTGAGTGCTTCATCATGTGTCGCGTTGCTCCTTCATTAAATCCCTTCAACTAATCACTTCTTCTCATTTAGTTTTTCAACCCTTTACTGTGCATAATATTTTAATCAGTGAACCTGCATCATGGTATAATTATTCCTATAGAGTTCTGTGGTTAATAAAAAAATGGGCAACGTAATACTTCTGAAGTCTCAAAATCAAACTAAGCTTGGATAGAGGCCATAAATGCTTTATTCTCGGTAACAGATATTTTGATGATGCTGAATTCATATGATGTGCTGGTTAATATAGCTCCATTCCTGATGTTAATATGTCAGATATTTTACAATTATGAGTCTTGCATCTGTAGGTTTCCATGTGGATGACTCAGAAGTAACCTTAAATGTTTGCTTGGGTAAGCAATTTTCTGGAGGGGAATTGTTTTTTCGGGGCGTACGATGTGAGAAACATGTAAATACTGGAAGTCATTCAGAGGTAAGTCATGGTGATGTGGAATGACATAAAATTAGATCGGTGTTGGAAAGATTAAATGCTTTTTTTTTTTAATCACTGTTAAGTGTATGTTGTTTGGTCTACTTTCTCTAAAGTGGTAATGCTTCAATCTACAAGAAGCAGTGACACCTCTGTGCCTCAATTAACAAGGTTCCCTCACCACAGTGCTTTAGGTTTTAGCTTTTGGCACCTTTTACTATACTGCCTACATGTATATTCTAAAATATGTATGCTAAATACTAATAAGTTTATTGGCCTATATATATGCATGAGAAAAAATAATTTCATTTAAAATTTTATGGGAGATTACATATTGATCCTGATGAAGTGTGGGCTTGGTTTACTTAACAATTTGATCCCTTACAACAATTACTTGTGAATTATTAATAATGCTCTTCATGCGTCTTATACAAGTAAGACTTAGAATTGGTGTATCTGTATGTATTTCTATTTTCCAGTACAGCTTTAGATGTATGTATTTGTTTCTAATAGTGAAAGCAAATCCAAATGATTGTTTATTATGGGTTTGGATTCAGTTCCAAATTTATGGACCATTGGTGCTTGCCATTTCTCATAGGTGGTTGTACACTTTTTTGATGGAGTCCATTATTTGAAAGCAGGAGATCTTTGATTATTGTCATGTCCCTGGACGAGCTGTGCTTCATCGGGGTCGCCATCGCCATGGTGCTAGAGCTACAACATCTGGTCATCGGGTCAACCTGCTTCTGTGGTGCAGAAGGTGATTTCATTTGTTGCTTGCTTTCATCGCTACTTCAGTTTGTCTAATGATTTTGTGCGTTTGCTTCATACTAAATTGTTCTGGTATACTCACTAGTTTCAGAATTCACACCCATGTCACTATTATCTGTTAATTTTTCCCTCGGTATATTAAGTGTTTGTATTATGTCATTGTAGTTCTGTCTTTAGAGAGATGAAACGGTACCAAAAAGATTTCTCCGGCTGGTGTGGCGAGTGCAATCGCGAGAAAAAGGAAAGGCAACGCACCACAATTGCTGCTACCAGATTGGTAAGTCTTTATGTAATCCGAATGTTTCGTGCTTGTGCATAATTTTCTGGGAAGATGTTACAAGTTGTTTGTATAAACACATGCTTATTCACTTGGCTTCCTTCCAACCTTGTGTGATCAGTATAGACATTTCAAATTGCTCCCAGCCTGCTACCAAAGAAATAATATTTTTTTTGAATTACTTGAAATACAGAGGAACTGTGTAAAACTTGTGTTGAAATATGAGTGTAAAAGAAAAACTGAATAAAAATTCATATTCATAAACTCAAAATCATGCAAGCATGATCTCTGTTATCATGTGTCTGTTATGGTACATGAATAGATATGATTATATGAATTCAAAGTTTGGTTTTTAATTGGTTTATTTTGAAATGTTATCACGTTACCCAAGAATAATTAGCAGTACTCTGATCTCTATGTTTTTATTCATGCACTTGATAGAAGTTTTCTTGACTTAAGTTTGTTCTTGCACAGTATAATTAGAAATGCATAGCATAAGGTTGCAGAATATAACTCTGATCTTATGATATAACAGGAGTTGTTCAAGAAGGAAGAATCCACTGCATAATCTGTTTTTGCTCAGTGGATGATTGTAAAATCCGATGTATCTGCAATCATTTGTCAACAAGTAGCCTATGATTCCTGGTCCAGGTGTCCGTACAAGTTATATGCTGTATTAAGATATTTTTCTTTGAATAAGCTTGGTTATGCCTATTTATTGTCTTTGAAGAAGGGGGGAGGTGGTTGTGTTATGTAGGCTGGTTAAATGCTCATATAGGCCATTCCCCCCCCCCCCCTTTTTTTTT